ACCACTTCCGGCTTTTTTCTTTTTGCTTATGTGGTGCTGAGGAATTGAACCCAGGGCCTCATGCATGCAAGGCAAGCACTCTACCACTGAGCCACCTTCCTAGCCCTTTCAGAAACTTTTGTTGTTGTTGTTGTTGTTGGACATGGGGATTGACCTCAGGGCCTGGGAGCTGTCCCTGAGCTCTTTTGCTCAAGGCTAGCACTCTACCACTTTGAGCCACAGCATTACTTCCAGGTTTTTTGTTGTTGTTTTGTTTTTCATTTTGGGTTTTTTTGTTTTGTTTTGTTTTCTAGTTCTGGGGCTTAAATTCAGGGCCTAGACACAGTCCCTGAGCTTCTTTTGCTCAAGGCTAGCACTCTACTACTTGAGCCACAGAGCAACTTCTGGCTTTTTCTGTTTATGTGGTACTGAGGAATGGATCCCAGGGCTTCATGCATGCCAGGCAAGCACTCTACCACTAAGCCACATTCCCAGCCCCAACTTCCAGTTTTTTTGAATAATTAATTGGAGATAAGAGTCTCATGGGGACTCTTCTGCTCAGGCTGGCTTCAAACCAAGATCCTCATAACTCAGCCTCCTGAGTAGCTAGGATTACAGGCATGAGCAACCAGTGCCCAGCCATTAGTTAGTTGTAAGAATCATAATTTGTAACTTATCAAAGACATTGAATTATTGAAAAACACTTTTAATTATACATTAAAGGTCATTTTTCTTACAACTTTTTTTTATGATGATAAGGATCAAACCCAGGGCCTTTCACATACTAAGCAAACGCTGTTTTACTACATATATGCAACCCCACCTGTTATTTTTAATTACACAACCAATACCAAAAAATAAATAATAATTGATTATAAGACCTGTTTTTAAACAAAGCCTCATTACATAGTCCAGTGTAGCCTCAAAGTTTGATCCTCAACTTCCCAAGTGCTAAGATTATAACCATGCACCACCATGCTCAGACTATAAGATAATTCTCTCTAAAAAATGAAAGTGGAATTATCTGCTTTGATTTACTAACATACTTCCATCTTTTTCTTCTTTCTCTTAAATGAATTACTTTCTAAGACACCAACAAACTTGAATAACAAAGAATTTCTCAAGCTGCCAGTATAGTTCTGTGATAGAAAGCTTGCCTAGCAGTGCCATATCCCCAACAAAAAATAACTCCTGGGACAGAACTATTCTATATTGTCAATAATCCTGCCCTATTATAATCAATCTATTTTGAGTAACCTATCAAAGCCTTTATATGAGCAATTAGCCAAACATAAAACAATTACTTTGATGCCAACATCTAGCTCAGCCAAAAAGCTAGAAAGAGTCACAGTGAGGAATATCACACACTGAGTCCTTTCAAAACAATGTTTAGAAAATAAGTGTTCAATTTATTTATGTTAGTCTTTTTTTCCTTAAGATGAATGCTCAAAAGAAGAATATAAAATATGGGCTGGGAATGTGGCTTAGTGGTAGAGTGATTGCCTAACATGCATGAAACCCTGGGTTCGATTCTTCAGTACCACATAAACAAAAAGAGCCAGAAGTGGCGCTGTGGCTCAAGCACTAGAATGCTAGCTAGCTTTGAGCAAAAGAAGCTCAGGGACAGTGCCTAGGCCCTGATTTTAAGCCCCAGGACTAGCACCAAAAAAAAAAAAAGTAAAATATGATACTAAAATTATAATTATCAAGGAAAGAAAAGTATTTCTAAATGTCATCTCCAATGAAGCAAAGATTAAAATTAAATTGAGTCACATTCCCAACACCTAATTTTTTCCAGTCTTTACTCTTTCTTAAGGATACAGATATTATGAAGATGAAGGGATTTTTTGTTTTTTCATTTTCTCTTGAAACAGGGTCTCACTCTACAGGCCAGACTGATCTGCAACTTGCTATGTAGAGCAGTTTGGCCTCAAATTTATATGCCTTAACCTCCTAAGTGCTGGGATAACAGATGTGAACTATCACATCTAACAAAGAATTTTGTTTTGTGTTCGTGGTTCTAGGGATTGAGTCCAGGGCCTTGTGCATACTAGGAAAGGGCTCTACCACAAGGCAACATTTCCAGCTCCCAAACCCTTATGAAGATGCTTATAATTAAGAAAGCATGGGGGGAAATTTTAGTAGTTCATTGGAAAATACAGAAGGGTATTTCAAGCTCCATTTCTGGAGAAAACCTGAAAACACAAATATATTTAACAAAAATGAAATTGGCAATTAGACTGAATTAAATAGCTCACTTACTGATATGAAGATATTTAATAGGTTTTCCAAGGTTGGCAGTTGTGGAATGAGCTTCTGCACCACCTTGCTGAAGGCTTCAAATATTGAGTGGTCATAGATACTAGTCAAATAAAAGCTGTAAAAACACAACATGGGAAGATTAATTTGGAAATTACCAGAAAAACAGTAATAATTCCCATAATATGTAATATTTAATGTTTCTTAACATTTGCTCCCAGAAATTTAAAAAGATCTTTACCATCCCCATTATTAAAGATAAGACCATTTTTCCAACCTGACCTATTATAGGATCACTCATTTTACTGCATTTACTAGAGAGCAACTAAGGGAACCCATACTGGAAAGCATTTCCAGATGCAGAAACTTGAACACTCTCCTATGTCTTTGCAATCTAACCCATAAAACTTGGTTTAAGTATATAACTAAGTCAAAACACCAAGACCAGACTCCAAGAGTAATCTAGATTTGTAATATTTACACTAAATAACAATTCACGTTTCTACTATAATGCCACCTCCTGACCAATCTACCTAAAACAGTAATCCTGAACCTGTTTTCTATCTTTTGCACTAATCATTTTATCTTCATAGCACTAAGTACTCAAAATTATACCATGCATTAATTTGTAAAAGCTTTGAGCTATTATTCATTCAACTGTAAGCTCTATGAGGAAAGAGACTTTTGTTAGTCTTGGGCACTAAGTATTTGCTTAGTAAGTAAGTCTACTGCCACTCCACCCTGGTTTCATCTGAATAAACGAAAATATACAACTGGCATTTAGATTTAGATACATAGCATAAGAAGAATGGATGTAGGAGTCCAGAAAACAAGAGCTTAAAGGCCTGAAAAAGGATGTATGAGTAGAAAAGTAATACTTGTAAATATGAAACATAAGTTTGAAAGAGAGAGGCCTTTAACAATTTAAGTACTGTGGACAATTCTGCCTGATTTTTCACTCAAGAGTACACCTATCACCACATGATTCTATCAAGCTCAGAAATAACTGTGTTTACTGCTCTGTGGCTCTTTAGAGACACAAGGAACTAACCTAAGAACCTAATCCTATGAAAGAAGGGGATTTACTCTAGCTATAAGAGCACTAGAGCCAATCTGAGAATTTTAAGTCTTTCTTTTAGGCACAGAGATTAGCAAAGTGAGGATCCTCCAGGGTTTGAAAGAGTTGGAGGTGAATGGAGACAGGGAAAACCTGAAAGCCAGAGTATGTTCATAAGTTGAGAAACCAGAAATCAAATAGACCTGAGAATCAAAGACCAAAGCCAGCCCAGGTAGACAAACCTGAGAATCTTATCTCCAATTAACCATCAAAAAGCCTGAACTAGCTGGTGCTGGTGGCTCACACCTACAATCCTAGTTACTCAGGAGGCTGAGATCTGAGGATCCTAGTTGAAAGCCAGCTGAGGCAGAAAAGTCCCAGGAGACATTTTTTTTTTTGAACTCAGCCTGGACACTGTCCCTCAACCCTTCAGCTCAAGGCAAGTGCTCTACAACTTGAACCACAGCGCCACTTCTGGTTTTCTGGTAGTTTGTTGGAAACAAGAGTCTCACAGACTTTCCTGCCCAGGCTCGCTTTGAACCTCTATCCTCTGATCCGAGCCTCCTAAGTAGCTAGGATTACAGCCACCCACGCCAGAATCCCTAGAGATTTATCTCCAATAAACTACTCAAAAAAGCCAGAAGTGGCACAGAGGCTCAAGAGGTAGAGCTCAAGCCTTAAATACAAACAGGCTCAAGGTCAGCACCCAAACCCTGAGTTTAAGCCCCAGGACAGGCAAAAAAAAAAAAAAAGGATTTTACTTCTGAAGCTATAATTTCACCTGTTTTTAATTTTTAAGGGCTGAAGGAATGGCTCAAATACTAGAAAACCTGCCTAGCAAGCACTAGACCATGAGTTCAAGCCCTAGTATTACCAAAAAAGAGGGGGTGGGAGAAATGTAGGTAAACTAGAGGTGAGACTCTTTTTGGAAGATTTTGAAGCCTAAGGCAAGGTAGGTGTAGGAATAGATTTGGCTTAAGCCTAATGAAAGTCTTTATAGTGGCCCAAGGATAAGGAAATTACTATACCTGTCTCTTCTATGCTTTACCCCTTTAGGCTGTTAATATCAAGACAACATTTTCGGCTGGATGCTAGTGGCTCATGCCACCTAGCTACTCAGGAGGCTGAGATCTGAGGATTGTGGTTCAAAGCCAAATGAAGCACAAAAATCAGTGAGACTCCTATCTCTAATTAAATACCAAAAAGATGGAAGTGGAGGTACAGCTCAAGTGGTAGAGTACTATGGCTAAGATAGAGTGCAGGCCCTGAGTCAAAGCCCCAGGACCAGCACAAAACAGGAACATTTTCACAGGCACTTTTTTAAAAAGTTATTTTTACCTTTATCACTAAAAATGATAAAGTACCAAAATAAGTCTTCTTATACTTTCAAAATGCAAATACACAATCCTAATTAAATGTTCAATTTATAGGATCAATTCACTTAACCCAAAGTTCAGAATTTTACAAAAGTACTATTGTAAGAACTAGGATACATGCTGGGTGCCAATAGCTCATACCTGTAATCCTAGCCACTGAAGAGGTTGAGATCTGAAGATAACAGTTCAAAACCAACCCAAGCATGAAAGTCCATGAGCCTCTTATCTCCAATTAATCACCAAAAAGCTAGAAGTGAAACTGTGGCTCAAGTGGCAGAACACCAGCTTTGAGTAAAAAAAAAAACTAAGGGATACTGGCCATGCCTCAGTACTTGCAAAGAAAAGAACCTAAGATACATTAGAACCTATGCTTTAAAATGTACTTCCTTTAAAAGGCTCTTCCTATTGAGAAAGATGCTATCTGGATCCAAGTCTAACTCTGACCAAGAGTTCTTGAATTTGGCAATGAAAGAAAAATGATGAAACCAAGAGGAAATGTCCTGAAGCAGATTTCTGCCATGAGGAAACAGCCTGACTCCAGTCTCTTGAGATCAATTTGCAAAAGCACCAATGATTTCACATGACTTTCAATCACCAGGAAAATGCAAAAACAGGGAAAAGCAACTTCTCAGTAATATCAGACTCCCAAAACAGACTAGAACTCAACAGAGATGAGATCAAAATCTTCTATACTTGGAAAAGGGAATACCAGTGATAGGAAGCTACGGGGTCTGTAATGACAGAGATGGGAATACATATCAAGCACACAGGTTTTTTTTTCAGGGCTCTCATATCAAGCACACATGTTGTTACCTAAGGTGGAGTTTTTCTAGCCCAGCATCAGCAAGGTCATCATTGGCCCTTTGATGTATGTCCCTCTGTGTTTCTATTTTGTGATCATCAGACAGACCATCAACTTTGTGAATAAAAACCTCAAAATTCATATCTGGGTTAACTTTGTAGGCTTTAGAAACAGTTATGTGAAGTCTTGTTAAAGCCTCCATGTAGTCATCCTGTAAGTCAGAACAAAATATTTTTTAAGAAATCATACAAAAAGCAAGTAATGAGTTATGCCTCAAACCACCCCAATTACAGAAAATATATCAACCTAATCATAAATATTCAAATACTCAAATACACCAACCTATAGTAAGAAATAGCTCTGCATTTTCTTTAGAAATTCAAAACCTAAGTCTGTTATTTGAACATAGTAATATTAAGGAAAAGGGAAACAAACATCTCTCCCACATAGAATTTTTAAAGTAATCCCAGCTCTGCCATTAATCAAGCTTCAGGCAAGTTGCTTAAATTCTGATCTCAGCTCACTCATCTGAAAAACTGGAATTATAATACCTACCCTCACAATATTGTGTAGATTGGCTTATGTATATGAAAGCACCTAACACTTGGAAAGCATTCCTAACTGGCATATTTAAGCTTACATAAAGTAAGCTCTTTAAGAACAGGGATTCATCTGACTAACTGCCACATGGTAGGCCTTAAGAAGTGCTTGTTGAACTAAATTCAATTCAAACAATTTAAATAAATTACTCATTCTAATATATACTGACTAGGGCTGGGAAGGTGGCTCAGCGGTAGAGGCCCTGGGTTTGATTCCTCAGCACCACATAAGCAGAAAAGGCTGGAAGTAGCACTGTGGCTCACGTGGTAAAATGCTAGCCTTGAGCTGAAGAGCTTAAGGACAGCACCCAGGCCCAGAGTTCTTTTCAGTGAGTATATCACTATTATAATAAAATACAGAAATACCTACTATTAACCAATAAAAGTAGGAAACCAGAGTCAAATGCTTATTAACTAGGACTCAAAGATACCAATCACTTCTAACCACCTGATACTCTAAAACTGCACAATAACAAGCCTGCTCCCCAAAAAACACTCTGCAGCTGTACCTCTTCTACTATCAGGGAACCTAGCAACAAAGTAAAAAGTTATGAGTATATGACAAAAGAAGAACGAATAGACATCATTATTCCTAACTACCTGTGCATCAATGACATATATCAATGCTCCTGTTCCCCTGAAGATCATTTCATAATCAAAGGTTGGGTCAAAAAAGTCCATCTGCCCAGGAAAATCCCAAATCTGGAAATTCACAAAGGAGCTATTGGAAATGTCGTCTTTATAAATCTTGTTGGTACTTTCCAAAAAAAGAGTCTCATTGGGTGACATCTTATGAAACACCACCTGTTAAAAAAGAATGAAAATTTTACGACTGCACAAGCTCAGAATTTAACCATGAGTTACAAGTACATTCAAAATGCTACCCTGGATTAACACTGAAAATTTTAAACCTGTAGCAGATAAGAAGGAAAGAAAATTAAGGTAAAAATTGAATGTTGAATCTAATTCTACTATTCTTTTTTTTTTTTTTTGGGGGGGGGGTCCAGTCGTGGGGCCTGAACTCTGGGCCTGGGCGCTGTCCCTCAGCTCTTCAGCTCAAGGCTAACGCTCTACCACTTGAGCCACAGTGCCACTTCTGGCTTTTTTCTTTATGTGGTGCTGAGGAATCGAACCCAGGGCCTCAGGCATGCAAGGCAAGCACTCTACCACTGAGCCACCTTCCCAGCCCCTATTGCTACTATTCTTATTTCTGACAAAAGATAGCAAATTAATTCCCATTTTCAATCTATTTTGAAGCTGAAAGTTTTCTGCTATTTTAATGGTACCATTAGTAGTACTACTAGTAGTCACTTACCTACATTGTTTGTTTTGGTTTTGATTTACTTTGACATTGTCTCACTATGCCTGTCAGATTGGCTTCAAAAGATTTACCAACATCAATCTCCCCAATGCTGGGATTAGAGGAATGCAACACACAAAAGATTCAAATTTTTGTAGTTTGTGGTTCTTTTTGTTTGTTTTGTTTTTCTGACAAGCATTTAAAGTTCTCAAAATCCATTTAGGAGATTATGGAAGTTTAAGAAACTGGGTCTTTTTTTTGGGGGGGGGGAGGGAGGGTGAGTCTTGAACTCTGGGCCCAGTGCTATCTCTGAGCTCTTTTGCTCAAGGCTAGAGCTCTATCACTAGACCTACAGTGCCACTTCTGGTTTTCTACTAGTTAATTGGAGATAAGAGTCAGGGACTTTTCCTGTCGGGGCTGGCTTCAAACCCTGATCCTCAGGTCTCAGCCTTCTTACGGGCATAAGTCACCAGCGCCAGGCTTAGTTTAAGTTTTGTTCATCCAAAGTCATTCAATCGTAGCTACTCAGGAAACTCAGATCAGAGGATCTAGGTTCAAAGCTAGCCTGGGCAGACACATCTCTATCCAGCAAAAAGCTGGAAGTAGGTGTGGCTTCAGTGCTGTAGGACCAGTTTTTTTTTTTGGGGGGGGGGGGGGGGGAAGGAAGGGGAAAGAGGCTCAGAGGCCCAGAGTTCAAGGCACAGGACCAGTTACTCAAATGCCTACTTTAACTAGTTCTGGAATAAAAAATGAAACATTGGATCCTGGCCTGGCTAAGTTAAATATCCAAAGGAGGAAGGCCTATGGAAGTAGGGAATAGGCAGCTCCCATAACACAAGAAAGGGTAAAGTCAACTCATGACTGGGGATGTATCACTGGTAGAGAGGTTAGCCTACTAACTCTAGGCTCAAAAAACAAAACAAAACAAAACAAAAAACCTCAATACTAAGTAATACTTTGGCTCTCACTGTTACTTTTAGCTTTTATAAAGATAAAAAGTTACTTGAAGTTACTTGCACAATTTTGTCGGTAACAAGTCGAATAAAAATCAGTTTGCTGAAAACATCAACACAGGCAAGTCTTGCTGGAGATGAAAAACAAAACACAGAAATGTAGAAAATTCGAAAGAGAGCTTCTCTATGAAAAAACAAAACAAAACATCGCGAGGTGTACTTTTAAGATAGACCTTCCCAACAGAGTGGAACGGGGGAAAGCCAGGGATCTAAGATATAAATGGTTAGAAGCTCGCTGTGTGTCTAACAGAGATGGCAGGCAGAAAAAACAGACACAGAGTTCTGCCTCTATTTCCCCTTTAATTAAAAAAAAATGTATGCCTGGGCTGGGAAGGTGGCAGTGGTAGAGCGCTTGCCTTGCATGCCTGAGGCCCCGGGTTCGATTCCTCAGCACCACATAAGCAGAAAAAAGAAGCCGGAAGTGGCGCTATGGCTCAAGTGCTAGCCTTGAGCTGAAGAGCTGAGGGACAGCGTCCAGGCCCAGAGTTCAGGCCCCACGACCGAACCAAAAAGGAAAAAGAAAAAGTATGCCCTCACCTTTCCTTCTTAACCCAAAGTTAAAATAAATGGTCTGATGTTAAGGTGTAACATTCTTAGATATTTCTGGCTTGGGGTAATGGTGTAGAGCTGTAATAATCCCAGCATTCCCAAGAAGGAAGCAGGACGAACTTGAGTTCAAGGGTGGCCTGGGCTACACAGAGAGAGACTGTCGCCAAACAGAAAGACTCCTAAGGTTTTTGTAACTACACACCTACCAGACAAGTATCACTTGTAACTACACTTAGATCGCAGGTACTCAGATACGTACAGTAACAGCACCCGCTCTAATAATGTCTCAGCGAAGTCTTCAAGACTTCAGCACAAGAACTCAGGTGCCCCGGAGCCTTAGTGCAGGACAGGGAGTCTCCCAGGCTCTCTCTCTCCACGTGAGAACCGTCGCGTCCAGGCGTCAGGGACTGGGTGCCAAGGGGCGGCGATGTGGGGCGGGGCCCGGGACACCTACCTCTCTCCAGTCAGTTTCGCCTCCCGAACTCTCCCCGGCCCCCGCCGACTCCGGGGTCCCCGCGCGGGCGGCGCCTCAGCCTCTGCACTCGCAGCAGCAGAGGAGAAAGTGCCGCGCTGGAGCCCAGCGCCAGGCCGGCTCGGCCGCCGCCCTCCCTCTCCGTCCCCCCACCCCCGCGCCCGGCCACCTGAGCCCCCGCCAGGCGAGGGGAGGGGGCGGACGGAGGACCCCACGCCTTTCCATTCACCTTCTGGATGGAGGACTTGCCGCTGCGCCTCAGCCCCATAAGCAGTATCCTCGGCTTGGAGCTCTCCGCGCCCCCCGGGCCACAGCCGCCGCCAGCCCCCGCCCCGACGCCGCCGCCCGCCGCCGCCGCCTCCTCTTCCTCTTCTTCCACGCCGTAGCCGAAGTCCTTAGGGAACGAATCCGCCGCGCCGTAACTGCCGGCGAGGCGCGGCTCTTCTGCCCCGTACTGCAGGGACATGGTGCTGGACCGCCGCCGCCCGCGCCCTGACAGGCCAGGCCAGGCCAGGCCGCCGCCTCCCCAGCCGCTGCCACTGCCGCTGCCGCCGCCCCCGGCCGCTACCGCCGTCCTGCCCGCCCCCAGGCCGGGCAATGATAGGCTCCGAGCTGGGACCCAGCCCCTCATTGGCTCCCCGAGACGCCACTCGGAAGCAGCAAGGTTGGTGGTGTACATCACGTGCTCAGAATCACCTGACTCGCGGCCGCCGAGGGGCGGGGGAGGAGTCACGAGGAGGGCGGCCCCGCCGCGCCTCTGGTCCTGCTAGTAAGCTTCGGCCCGTCCCTGGGCTCCCCAGTTCCCCTTCGCGCTGTCGGCCAGCCTTCTGGCACCGATAACACCGCCAGAGATGTTCTGGGAATTCGGGGAAAAGAGTCTATTGTCCTCCTCCTACGTTTGTGTTCACTCAGCTAATACTGATGTCTGCGATATCCTGGATGCCTAAAGGGGGACTAGAAACTGAAACCGACTCGGGCCCGGCCTGTCCTCGAGTTGAAGACTAACCGAGATTGAACCTCTGCGTAAGTAACCTCGGTGTGAGATGTTATGTAGGAAGGCCACGGGCACGGATGAAATGCTCGAAAACTGGGAGAGAGAGACTGGACTCTAAGCACGTGTAGATGAATGAATAAGGTTGGGATAAGGTAAAGGAAGTCAGCGAGCAAAACTCAACCCAGGGTAGTTAGGTGGGGGTCAGTGTGATCACTTTTTCTTGCAGGTACCTAGACCAGACAGGAAAGCAAATCCAACCAAGCTGGAACATCTTTTTGCAGTAGATGGCTGAGTGACTACTGCTACAACCTCGAACTCGGGACTCAGCTGCTTCTCCCCAAGACAGTCAAGTCTGCCCCTCTAGTAATTGTTTCTATAGAATGTTGTTAACTTCCACATCACCTTCAGATTAGAGACTAAAGAAATGCCTAATGAAAAGCAAATGCATTACCAAATGTTTGAGAAAGCTAAAGGAAATTCCATGGTTCCATATGTAGAGTTGAAAATTAAGACTCAAAGCACGGCCCCTATACATTTAAAAAAGGCAATGTAGTGGACTTGATTTCTCAAGCAGACTGTTGTAATACTGGGGGATGAAACCCTGGTCCTCTGTGCATGTTAAACCAATGGTCTACCACTGGATATGCCCAGAGACTGACTTCTTGATGGGAGAGTATGTTTCCTCACCAGTTATATAGAAACCTAGAATTTAAAGGTAGGAAAAACCAGTAAACATCTAGTCCAAACTCTATAGTATCTTGACAGACATGCAGAATGTACCTAGACTCTTGGTTTTCATGGGGGATTAGTTCCCCCGTGGATTATACCTCCCAATTCTATTAACTGATTAAAGTATGATCAAGTTCCTTATATAAAATGCCTTAGTATTTGCATACAACCCATACACCTCTTCCCATATAATCTTTACACTACTTAAAAATAATCTAGTAGGGCTAGACACTGGTGGCTCACATCTGTAATTCTAGTGACTCAGGAGGCTGAAATCTGAGGATCACAGGTTCCAAGCCAGCCCAGGCAGGAAAAGTTTTTGTGAGAGACTTATTTTCAATTAACCATCAGAAAACCAGAAATGGTGCTCTGGCTCAAAGTGGTAGAGCACTGGCCTTGAGCGAAAAAGGTCCAGGACAAGTGCCCAGGCCCTCTTTTCAAGCCCCACAACCAACCAAAATAATAATAATACAACACTGGAAATAGTATGGAGTTATATTACTTAGGGAATAAAAACAAGAAGAGACTGTTCTGTACAGAAATTTTTTTCAAATATTCTCAATTCACGACTTGTTGAATCCACAGACACAGAACTCATGGATAGAGGGCTATAGTTCAAATGGATAGCTAACTCAAAAGAGCCAATTCCACCATTAGCAGTTTTGTCTAAAAACATATTCAAGTCACACTTCCTAAGTCTATAATGTAAATAGAAGAGGTCTTCATGTTTTTTATAGCAACCCCTCAAATACTAAATTGCAGTCATTTTTACCCACCAAGACAGTTGTCTCTGTCCTCCTTGAACATTTACAGTTCCTTCAATCATTCCTTTTATGATGGTGTTCAATAAAACTTTCTGTGGTGACAGAAATGTTTTATGTCTATTTTATTCAGTCTAATAGCCACTAGCCACATATGGAATGCCCACTAGAATTGTTGCTAGTGTGAATTAGGAACTGAATTCTTTTTTATTTGCCACATGTAGCTGATAGTTACTATGTTGGAAAAACACAGCCTTATAGCTGGTAGTTACCATGTTGGAAAAAAAAAGCCTTATATTTTCAAGTCTTCCAAATCAGGAGTGGGGAACCTTCTTCCTGACAAAGATATTTATAATGTCACTCATGGGCCATAAAAGATTGTGAATATAGGCTACAGGCAGCTGACAATGTACCATTCTGTAACAAATGATTCCTTGGGCCTTATATGGCCTGTCAAGTAGAGAACAAAAAGGAGATGTATATAGCCTTCAGGATAATAACACCTGGACAATATTTCTATTAATGTTTTTTTAGTAATCATAGTGTACAAGGGATTCACACTGGTAATCATTCATAGTACTATGTCAGTAATCTTACTAACTTGTATAACTGCATTTTTGAATTTAAGTCTAAGACTTGATATTTTAAACTTTTTCATTTAGGTCTGGCAGTTTGGGTGTCCCAGATTACCATTTAAAAACTTGTTCCAATTTGGTTTACCAGCTTGCTCTTCTAATTCAGTGGCACTTACGATTTAGCACTACTACCACCTGGTCTATATGTAGGCCTTCACAGTATGCAAAGCACTTCTGTATCCATTATATTTGATCCTTACAACAACTTTATGAGGTAGGCAAGATGTGAAATTTATGTTTTATAGATAAGGCAGCTAAAGTGTAACTGAACTGGTGTGATCTATCTTCAGTTCCACTGATCATCTTCTTGTAGACAGTCTTCATTCAAATCCTTTACAGGAATGTTAAAAAAAAAAGCCTGGCACCAGTGGCTCACACTTGTAATCCTGGCTACTCACAAGGCTGAGATCTGAGGATCATGGTTCAAAGCCAACCCTTGACAGGAAAGCCCATATGACTCTTAATGTCCAATTAAACACACACACATATATACACACATGGCCAAAGAAGGACTGTGGCTCAGAGCTAACCAAAAGAAAAACTAGCTCAGAGTCAATGCCCAGGCCTTGACTGGCACCAAAAAAAAAAAAAAAAAAAAACCTCTAGGCAAGGCTAACCCATATTACTAACCTGTAGAGCAGTTTGAATAGGGTAGTTCCACCTGAAAGTGTGATTATCCATCCCATTCTGTCCAAAAGGATGGTACAGAATGTGTTTAACTTACTGACATAAATAGCAACACTAGCCCCATGAGAAAAAGCAAACAATGGTTGGCTTTCAGAAATAAAACTATTAGTTGGTTGCTGCTGGCTCACACCTGTAATCCTAGCTTACTAAGGAGACTTAAACCTGGAAAATCTTGTGGTTTGAAGCCAGCCCCAGCAGAAAAGTCATTGAGAATCCATCACCATTTAACCAGCACATTGGGAGAAAAAAAAAAACAAAAAACCTGGACTGGAGATGTGGCTCAAGTGGTAGCATAGCAGCCATGAACAGGCAGGCCAAACAAGCATGAGACTCAAGCCTCAGTACCAAACAACCAAAAAAACAAGCCTCTTTCCACCAAGCCTCTTTCCACAAGGGAATGATCATAATTACTTGAGGAAGCCTTCAAAGGGACATCTTAGCAAATCCTAAGCCATCTTTTATGTATCATATTCAACTTCCAATCATCCATCTTTACCATAACCAGCACTTAGCTCAAAATTGCTATCCAGCTGGGCATGGTGGCGCACGCCTATAATCATAGCTACTCAGGAGGATGATATCTGAGGATCACTGTTCAAAGCCAGCACAGACAGGAAAGGCCATGAAACTCTTAGCTCCAATAAACCACTCAGAAAACTGCAAGTGGTGCTATGGTTCAAGTGGTAGAGCACTAGCCTTGAGCTAAAGAGCTGAGGGACAGCACCCAGGCCCAGAGCACAAGCCCCATGACCAAAAAAAAAAAGGAAACCTGCTATCCATGTAGTCGCATTCACATTAGTAAAAGAGGAAGAAATCTATCCAAGTGAATGTTCTTCCATCAGTATCTGGCATCACTCCCAAAACAAACTTGTGACAGGAGGAAACATACACCATGGCCACTTTTAAGCCAACTTGAGATTATAATGCTGTTATCTTTAGTTTGTTCATTTTCGAGAAGATGCCAGTGCCTTTGCTAATTAAACCAGCTTTCATTGGATGTGCATTCTGACCAAAAACTAAGGTAGGCTTTCTAATTACAAGGATAGAGTACAAGAAACAGGAGACTTCTAAGTGTTAGTCTACCAGTGAAGAAAATAAGTGATTGACAAAACATCTGACCCTTAAGTCTTCAAAAAGACAGGAAAAAAGACTAACAAACAGGAATATAGTGCTTTACCATTTACAGATCTTGCACATACATTCTCATCTGACCCTCACAACAACCCTGTGAGGTAGGCAGTACAGATAGTCTTTCTCACTTAACAGTTAAGGAAAGTAAATCTGAGTGGCTAACCAATGTGCCCAAAGTTAGAAACTAATTTGTATTAAGTATCAGTCTTTGGCGTAAAATTTCAATACCCAATCTCCTCATTCTTGCCCTACCTACTTCACAGGGATAACAAAGATAAAATGAGTTGAAGGCTAGAAAAATATTTTGAGAGAGGAAAAAAACCACTACAGAATTAAATTCACAAACTATAATTTTCCATCATATATGGCTCATTTCCCTTTCCATCCCAGCTTGTGCCGGGGCCCACAATTATATTAACTTCATTTTGTGCTCAACTTAGCAGTTAGGTAAGGCAGCATATCATTGTGATCCTGTTTAGAGTTATGTAAACTGCAATCATGGTAACTGCATTATTAAGCAAACCGAAAACAAGGCTAGTATACAGCTAGTACTCACTAAAGCACAGAGCAAAGGCAACATATGTGACAGGGCATGATTGCATAGAAGGGAAACATGTTGTCAAAGTTCACACTGACACATACAGTTCTCTAAGGCAAAGTGGTGGCAAAGAAGAGTTATTTGTTCTGCATTATATAAACAGCAGAAGACTCCTAGAAACTCGTGCACAAGCATCTTATGTCACACATCTTTCCAGCTGCCTAAAGGAATATAACTACTGTCATCAACATTGTAAAGAATGACTGTATCTATGCTCATATCCAGAACCAATTCTGTGCTAAAATTCCTTGGCTAAACCACAACCAGTACCATCATTCTCAATCAGACTAATAAAACAGTGTCCTTTAAGGTAATTAATTGGTTGACGGTTTAGATTTCCTTCAGAATTTCCTTTGGATTCTCCTGCTTTAAGACCCAATGAATGTAATATTAATTTTTATTAGTGATTCTAAGTATGTGTTTAATAACAAACTGTGATAAGTGAACTTAACATATTAAAAGAGTTTTATAGCATCTGTCCAGAAAAGATTATATACTATACAAACTATTCAAGTCATACAAAACCATTTTTCAGTGTCTTTTCAACTGAGAAGAATCCTATTCAGCACGCTTCTCCTCTTGAGGTGGTTCATACTGAGCAAGCTATGGGGCAAAGACAGAGTAGTTTAAAAAAACATAGTAACAAAAAAGAGTTTGGATAATTATATCCCATTTAGTTAATCATTAACTACAACATATACCTATACTAATGAAAGCCCTTTTCTGTAAACTTTTACTATTACTGGAAAACTGATATTTAATTTCAGTTCTTGACTGAACATTTGATATTTGCATATCAAAGATTTTATATGCAATCATTTACATCTTCCCAAACATGCTATAAGGATCCTTCATCCTAGCCACCAAGTTTGTTGAAATTTCCCCCTAGAGGAAAAGTGTTTCGTAACATATTGATTTGGTCAGTCAATGAACAGTCACTAAGGTCTTTGACTTAGAAGGTTAACTAGCAATTGCACAATGTGAAAACTTAAGATAATTGAAGATACTGTGGGGTTTTTGTTTGGTTGGTTTTTTGGTCAGTTGTGGGGCCTGAACTCTGGGCCTGGGCACTGTCCCTCAGCTTTTCAGTCAAGGCTAGTGCTCTACCACCTGAGCCACAGCACCACTTCTGACTTTTCCTGCTTTTGGGGTGCTGAGGGATCGAACTCAGGGTCTCATGCATGCAAGGCAAAAACTCTACCACTGAGCCACCTTCCCAGCCCTGTTTTTTTTTTTTTTTGTCGGTCATGGGGCTTTGAACTCTGGACCTGGGCACTGTCCCTCAGTTCTTCAGCTCAAGGCTAGTGTTCTACCACTTGAGCTACAGCACCACTTTCTGGTTTTTCTGGTGGTTAACTGGAGATAAAAAGAGTTTCACGGACTTAACTCCCAAGTTAGCTTTGAACCGTGATCCTCAGATCTCAGCCTTCTTAGTAGCTAGGATTACAGGCTTGAGCACCGGCACCTGGCCCTAGGTTTTCTTTTACACTAAATTGTGGTTCCTTGAAACAACACATAAGAGTTCTTCCAACTAGCTGTCAGAATGAAAAGTTTATTATGCTTCAAATGCCTCATATACCTATTTTACTACTTCATACTATGAGAAATACCTAGAGGAACATAAAATGCATTATATGATTTAGAATGTAGTAAAACCTCAAAGGTTTATAGTAGATCTTGAAGTATATGAAGTTTCATGGGAGTTTGAAAAAAGAAAAAAAACTTTAAAGCTAGATAAAATTAAGGGCAGTTCAGTTCTCTAAATTTACTCAACCTAGGCCACTAGACAGGATAGTGCAAACTGCGCACTGCACAACTCTAAAAGGCACTGTTCACAAAGCAGTAGCCTTATCCTGACCTTAACTAAGTATCTTAAGAATTATGCATTTATTTAGACACAGCATTAACCAGTATTCCCATCTTTTTGCTGAACAAGTTCCAAAGAACCTCTTCATGACCACAGTTTGCTTGTCCTGTTTAGTTTGTAATGTGTGAAGCCTAAGTTTGCCCTGCATTCGATTCAGCTTGATTTTTACCTTCCTCTTTCCCTGACTGCTCATTTTAGTGAAATTTTGTTTTGGTTTGGCTTTTAGAGTGCTAACGGTTGAACCCATTGCCTTGCTCATGCTAGGCAAATTACCACTGAACTATATCCCTAGCCTTTTAGTGAAGTTTTCATCAGATAATTAAAAGTAAAAAGTTAAACATAAATTCCTTTCAAAATTTTACCTTTGCTTTCAGTTTTTTATTTTCTTCTACAGTAGCTTCATATTTTTCTTTCATTTCTGCCAATTCTAGGCGAAGCAGCTCTATTTCTGCATTTTCTGGGGTGGCAGCTCCTAAGTGATGCTTTAAAAAACTAACATCAATGTTAAAGAAATTACTTCGTAGTGTTGAGTAAATTTAATGAAATGTTAAGAGTAGCGTAAACATCCCTGACCAGAATTACCCACCAGACCAATATTTACCCAGAAATCACCATCTAAAAACTCAAACGTGGGGCTGGGAAGGTGGCTCAGTGGTAGAGCGCTTGCCTTGCATGCCTGAGGCCCTGGGTTCGATTCCTCAGCACCACATAAGCAAAAAGAAAAAAGCCAGAAGTGGTGCTGTGGCTCAAGCGGTAGAGTGCTCTCCTTGAGCTGAAGAGCACAAGGACAGCGCCCAAGCCCAGAGTTCAAGCCCCATGACCAACAAAAAAAAAGTCTCATGGACTTTCCTGCCCAGGCTGGTTTTAAACAGCAATCCTCAGATCTCAGCCTCCTGAGTAGCTAGGATTACAGGCGTGAGCCACCGGCGCCCGGCAGCAAAAATATTTTAAAGGTTGTTTTTTGTCGTTGTTTTGTTGGTCTTAAGTCTTGAGCTAACTCTGGGCCTGGGTGCTGTCCCTCAGCTCTTCAGCTCAAGGCGAGCGCTCTACCAATTGAGCTACAGCGCCACTTCCGGTTTTCTGGTGGTTTATTGGAGATAGGAATCTCACGGTCTCTCCTGCCCGAGCTGGCTTTGAACCGCAATCCTCAGATCTCAGCCTCCTGAGTAGCTAGGATTACAGGCGTGAGCCACCGGCGCCCGGCAGCAAAAATATTTTAAAGGTTGTTTTTTGTCGTTGTTTTGTTGGTCTTAAGTCTTGAGCTAACTCTGGGCTTGGGCACTGTCCCTCAGCTCTTCAGCTCAAGGCTAGTGCTCTACCACTTGAGCCACAGTGCCACTTCCAGTTTTCTTTTCTGGTGGCTAACTGGAGATAAGAGTCTCATGAGCCAGGCGCCAGTGGCTCACGCCTATAATCCTAGCTACTCAGGAGGTTGAGATCTGAGGATAGCAGTTCAAAGCCAGCCTGGGCAGGAAAGCTCGTAAGACTCTTATCTCCAATAAACAGATAGAAAACCAGAAGTGGTGCTGTGGCTCAAGCGGTAGAGTGCTCTCCTTGAGCTGAAGAGCACAAGGACAGCGCCCAAGCCCAGAGTTCAAGCCCCATGACCAACAAAAAAAAAGTCTCATGGACTTTCCTGCCCAGGCTGGTTTTAAACAGCAATCCTCAGATCTCAGCCTCCTGAGTAGTCAGGATTACAGGCATGAGCCACCAGTGCCTGGCAAGTTTTTATCTAATGTGAAAAAAAAGTAAGAATTTCAAAAATAAGGTGCCTTTTTCTGACTCCAAAAATGAAAAGGATACTCCAAAGCACTATTAGGTTTCTCTGGTTCTTCATATAAGGCTACCAACACTGCAAATCAGAAAGCAAGTAAAAAGCAACAATTAAAGTCTTAAATTTGAATGGCTGAAATGCTTTATAATTCACTAAGTGTAACAACAATTACATGCCAAGACTATCCACACAGTTGTGGACACATCAAACAAGGTCCCTCCTTAAAACTTAGAATCCATTGCATAAGATAAGCAAAAAATTGAATAGAATAACAAGTAGCAGCACTGGAATGATTGTTACAGAGCACAAGGCTCCAGAAAGGGAAAAGAAGACAGAAACCTGGCAATAAGTGGTGTAGACAAGAGAAGGCTTAGGAGACAAAAGAACAAGAACAATTCCAGTACGGCTAGGTGGAGTTATGGGTTATGTGAATGGAAAGATGGATCCAAACTAGGGAGGGACATATAAGTTTGGTTGGACTTTGAACCTAAGAACAACAAGCATATAATTAAACCTTTTTAAGCAGAGGAATGACAGAGTCACTCCAGACTGCTTATTGGCAGGCACTTTCTTAAGTGCAAGGATAATGACTAAGAAGCTAATGTAGCAACCCAGGTTAAAAAGACAATGATAGAGATCATGATGTATAGTTTTTTTATTTTTTGGTCAGTCATGGGGCTTGAACTCTGGGCTTAGGCATTGTCCCTCAGCTTTTCAGCTCAAGGCTAGAGCTTGAGCCACAGTGCCACTTCCCCTTTCCTGGTAGTTAATTGGAGATAAGAGTCTTGTGGGGACTTTCTTGCCTGGGCTGGCTTTGAACCAGATCCTCAGATCTCAGCCTCCTAAGTAGTTAGGACTAGAGGAGTGAGCCACTGGAGCCCGGCTGATTTTAATGGCAGCAGTTTCTATGCAGTAGACCAAAAGATTTTGATGAACTGTTTAATTTTTACAAGTTGCATAATTTGTTTTCTTGCAAAATAAAAATGTAATATAAATGCTTTCACCTAAAAAAAAAAAGACAATGACAGAGATGAGACAAAGTGGAGAAACATTTTAGGAGAAAAGCAATAGGGCTGAGAAGAATCTTTCAATTCAAAATGTCCAGACTGAAGGGGATTTTTTTGTATCAGTAGACTGGGCACTGCCCTAGAGCTTTTTTAAAAACGCAAAGCTAGTAATCTACTACTTGAGCCTTAGCTCTACTTATGGCCTTTTTGGTGGTTAATTGGAGATTAAATTTTTTAAAAAAATCTCAGGGGCTTTCCTGACTGGACTGACTTTGAACCATTATCCTCAGATCTCATCATGAGTAGTTAGGATTACAGGTACCAGGTTAAGATTGAAGTTTTGATACAGCATACTTAAATAATCACCAACCAGAGACCAGTTATCAATGTTCTCAGATCAGCTTTAAAATATATACTAGAGCCAGGCACCAGTGGCTCATGCCTGTAGTCCTAGCTACTCAGCAGGCTGAGATCTGAGGATTGTAGTTCAAAGCCAGCTCCCCCAGGAAAGTCCATGAGATTCTTATCTCCAACTAACCACCAAAAAACCAGAAGTCCATGAGACTCTTATCGCCAACTAACTGCCAAAAAACCAGAAGTGGTACAGTGGCTCAAGTGATAGAACACTAGCCTTGAGCTGAAGAGCTCAAGGACAACTCCCAGGCCCAGAGTTCAAGCCCCATGACCGACAACAACAACAACAAAATATATATATATATATACACATGTATATATAATATGCAGTAATATATATAACAGCTCCTGTGAGCACTAACTTATCTATTGATAAGCAAATGCCTCCTAGAATTTATTAATGTCTTAAAGCAGTAGCTAACAGTTTAGAGCATGAAACTCTGAAGTCTGACAAAAAGCAAAAAATACATACCTCTACAAAAAAATGCATAGGTACAGCTCAAGAAGTCCTGTACTAAACCAATTCATGTGTCCCTTTTATCTTTTAATAACTTAAAATAATAAAGACAATATGAAAAATCGAACTGGCAACTACTTTTACCTTCAGCTACTAAACCTGTCAGTGGAACTTACAAGGTTGGTAACTGCAGAATGTAAATATTAAGATTCCTGTGCTTGTCTATGGATGAATACACTTCCTTTAATCAGATAAAGAAAGCTTAGTACCAAATCATGTTCCCCTTTTTGCTTTAGAAGCCAGGATTCTTCTTTTTTTTTGGGGGGGGGGTGTCTGGTCGAGGGGCCTGAACTCTGGGCCTGGGCGCTGTCCCTCAGCTCTTCAGCTCAAGGCTAGTGCTCTACCACTTGAGCCACAGCGCCACTT